CCTTATTGCCTTTTTTCCTCCCTCCCTCAACCCTCTCTTTCCACCCTTCTGTCCCTCCCCCGTTCCCCCCTCACCTCACTTCAACCTTCCTTTTTATCGCTTCACCTCTCTTCTTCCCTCCCCTCTCCTCCCCTCAACCGCTCATTCTTCCCTCTTCTCACCTCCACTTCCCCTCCCTTCCCCTCCCTCTACCGCTTATCTTCCCTCTCCTCCTTCCCTCCTTTCCTTCCCCCCTCGCATCTGCCCTTCCTTCCCCTCTACCGCTTTACTTGCCCTCCCTCCCCTCCCTCCTCCCTCCTTCCCTCCCCTTCATCTCCTATCACCTCCCTCTCGTCCATCCCCCCCACCCTCCATCTCCCTCTTTACTTCCCCTCCCTCCTCACTCCCTCTCCCCTCCCCTCATCTCCCTCTCCCCTCCCCTCCCCCTCATCTCCCTCTCCCCTTCCCTCCCTCCCCCTCATCTCCCTTCCTTCCCCTCCCCTCCCCCCCCCTCATCTCCCTCCCTCCCCCTCCCTCCCTCCCTCCTCCCTCCCTCCCTCCCTCCTTACCCTCTACCGCTCCCCCTTCTCCCTACACAGTGCGATGCCACCCTGTTGGTTTCCGGGGAGGGGGAGAGGAGGGGGGAGGGAGGGGGGAAGAAAAAGGCCACATTGAGAGGCCCTACTCGGCACCCTTCTCCCCTCTCTTCTTTTTCCCCCTGTTATCTCTTTCTTTATCTCGTTTTTAATTCCTCTTTATCTCTTTGTGTGTCGCCCTTTCGTGCTCTCCCTGTCTTTCTTCTTCTTCTTCTCTTCTTCTTCTTCTTCTTCTTCTTTTCTTCTTTCTTCTTCTTCTTCTTCTTCTTCTTCTTCTTCTCTTTCTTCTTCTTCTTCTTCTCTTCCTTCTTCTTCTTCTCTTCCTTCTTCTTCTTCTTCTTCTTCTTCTTCTTCTTCTTCTTCTTCTTCTTCTTCTTCTTCTTCTTTCTTCTTCTCATTTTTTTATCTCTTTTTAGTTTCTTTCTCGTTCATTTCCCTCACCTTTGCTCATTCTTACCCTTTTTGGAATAAGGGGAAGAAGGAAGGAGGAGGAGGGGGGAGAAGGAGAAGAGAGGGAAGAGGAGGAGAAAGAGAGGGAAGAGGATAGGAGGGGGGATTGGGTAGAATCAACCTTCCCCCCTTCCCCCCTCCCCCCCCCTCTTCCCCCACCCTTTCCCCTTATCCCTTCCTCCGCTCCTCCCTCTGCCCTCTCCCCCCCCCCTTCCCGTCTCCCTTCCCTCCCATTCCCCTTCCTCCTACTCACTCCCCTCTCCCCCTTTCCCGTCTCTCTCCCCTCTCCCCCTCCTCCCTCCCTCCTCCTCCTCCCCCCTCCTCTTCCCCCCCTCACTGCTCCCCTTCCCCTTCCTTTTCTCCCCTTCCCCTCACTCCTCCCCTTTCCCCTTTCCCCTTCCCCCCTCACTCCTCCCCTTCCCCTTTCCCCTCCCTCTCCCTCTCCCCTTCTCTCCCTCCTCCCTCCCTCTTTCTCTCCCCCTCCTCCCCTTCTCCTTCCCCCTCTCCCCTTCCCCTTTCTCCTCCTCCCCTCTCCCTCTTCCCCGTCCCCCTCCTCTCCCCCTTCCCTTCCCCCTCCCCCTCCCCCTCTTCCTCCTGTCCCCTTCCCCTTTTCCCCTCCCCCCCCTCCCCCCTTCTCTCCCTCCCCTCTCCCCCTTCCCCGTCTCCCTCCCCCCATTCATGGTAGGGCCATTCAGTCGTGCATAGCAATGTTGAACATGGCCCTTTGTGGGATGTGGGTCGTTAGTCAGTGTCGTTGGGGGTTTAAGGAGGGGTGAGAAGGGAAGAGGGGAGGGGGGGAGTTGTCTGTCACTCGATGCCCTGACGCCCTCTCTGTCTCTGTCTCTCTGTCTCTTTCTTTTTTTTCTTTTTTATTTAATTTATCTCTCTCTCTCTCTCTCTCTCTCTCTCTCTCTCTCTCTCTCTCTCTCTCTCTCTCTCTCTCTCTCTCTCTCTCTCTCTCTCTCTCTCTCTCTCTCTCTCTCTCTCTCTCGCTCGCTCGCTCGCTCGCTCCTTCTCCCCCCCTCCCTCCCAGTACATACATACATACATAGATAAATAAATATAATTCTATAAAACACACACACACACACACACACACACACACACACACACACACACACACACACACACACACACACACACACACACACACACACACAAAACACAAACACAAACACATACATACATACATGATCTTTACAATACCGTATTCAATACCATCATGGTTATTAATAATAATATTATTATTATGATTAGCGTGGCTGTCATTATCAATACTTTTAATTTTATCATTACTATTTGCATGATTTCCATCACCATCCTTGCCCTGATCAATCATTTTCATTTTCATTATAATTTCCATTGTCAACCCCCCCCCCACACCCGCCCCCTTCTCCCTCCACTTTAGGAAAACATTGAACTGAAAGGGAGGGGGGGGGTAAGGGGTAGGGGGGGGGGAGGATGAACACGGAACAGGTGTTTGGCGAGCTGAACAAATTTAGCCGCACAAACACCTGTGTCTATTTATAGCCCTGTGTGTGTGTGTGTGTGTGTGTGTGTGTGTGTGTGTGTGTGTGTGTGTGTGTTTTTAGTTTTTGTTTATAGATTTCTATGTATGTATGTATTGGGAGGGAGGAAAGGGTGAAAAGGGGGGGGGGAGAGGTAGAGACAGACACAACCCCACAACCTCCCCCTCCCCCCCTCCCCCCTCCCTTCCCCCTTTCACCACTTTGCCCTTGGACAGTTTCGTGTGTGTACTGTATGTCAAGGGTGGCAGTTGACTCAGCTACCCCCCCCCCCCCCCCCCCCGCCCTACCCCCTCTACCCCCCCCCCCCTCTGCCCCTTTTGCGTTATGGTCGTGGATCTTACCCATTTGTTATGGGTAGATCAAATTAGTATCTTTTTATTCATTATTATATTATTTTTTTTTTTGAGTGATGGGTGATCCTTATTATTATTGTCATTGTTGTTGTTGTTGTTATGATTATTATTAGTGTTTTATTTTGTTGTTTATTGGCTGTCTTTATTATTATAGTATTTCTTATTTTTATTATTGCTGTTATGAATATTACTATCGTTGTTTATTATTGCATTGTGATTATTCATTATTCACCATCTCTTTAATTGTAGTCTTCCTTTTATGTCATCTCTCTCTCTCTCTCTCTCTCTCTCTCTCTCTCTCTCTCTCTCTCTCTCTCTCTCTCTCCTCTCTCTCTCTCTCTCTCTCTCTCTCTCTCTCTCTCTCTCTCTCTCATTTCGCTTCATTTCATTGTGGTTCATATATATTTTGGCATTGTCTTTCTCACTGTCTTCGTGTCATCTTTCCATATCATTATTATTGCGTTTCATAGTTATCATTAATATGTGATCATTATTACGCGCCGTCTCACTGTGATGGTTATTTCTCGGTATCTCATTTTAAACTCGTGATTCTCTCATTATTTCATCCATGTTACTTCATCGCCACATCTCTTATCACCCGGTCGTAATTATGTCATTGTCTCTCATCTCTCGCCAAGGTCATCTCTTCATCTTTCGTTCTAATTATCCGCCGTTATCGCTCGTCTCGAGTGATTCGTTCTGTCTTGTGATTTTTTTTTATTTTTCTCTTTCTCTTTCTTTGTCGCGTTCTTGCTCTCTCTCGCTCGACTCTCTCTCTCTTCATCTCTCTCTCTCTCTCTCTCTCTCTCTCTCTCTCTCTCTCTCTCTCTCTCTCTCTCTCTCTCTCTCTCTCTCTCTCTCTCTCTCTCTCTCTCTCTCTCTCTCTCATTATCCTCTCTATCATTATTCTCTCTCTCTCACCCGCAGTTTCATCGACGGCGATTACCTCTTTAATTATCACTGATTACCTCTCACCCGGATTATCTCTTTAGTTATCTCTCATTATCAGTCACCACGATTATCTAATTATCTCTCACCTCGATTACCTATTTATTTTGATCATCACTTAATTATCTCAAACTCTCTCTCTCCCCGTAGTTTCCGCGACCGCGATTATCTCCTCAATTATCTAATTAATTATCACTGATATTTCTTTAATTCTCTCTCTCTCTCTCTCTCTCTCTCTCTCTCTCTCTCTCTCTCTCTCTCTCTCTCTCTCTCTCTGTCTCTCTCTCTGTCTCTCTCTCTCTCTCTCTCTCTCTCTCTCTCTCTCTCTCTCTCTCTCTCTCTCTCTCTCTCTCTCTCTCTCTCTCTCTCTCTCTCTCTCTCTCTCTCTCCGCAGTTTCCTCGACTGCGATTATCTCTTCAGTTATCTCTCATTATGTCTTTATCACTCATTATCTCTTTAATTATCACTAACTCTTTAATGATCTCTCTCTCTCCCCCGCAGTTTCCTCGACCACGATTATCTCCAGTTATCTCCCATTATGCCTTTATCACTCATTATCTTCAGTTATCTCATTGTGTCTTTATCACTCATTATCTCTCCAGTTATCTCTCATTGTGTCTTTATCACTCATTATCTCTCCAGTTATCTCTCATTGTGTCTTTATCACTCATTATCGGATTATCTCATTAATGATCTCCTCTCCCCCCCCCCCCCCCGCAGTTTCCTCGACCACGATTATCTCTCCAGTTATCTCTCATTACGTCTTTATCACTCATTATCTCGTTAATTATCACTGTATCTCATTTTATCTCTCATTACGTCTTTATCACTCATTATCTCGTTAATTATCACTGTATCTCATTAATGATCTCATTACGTCTTTATCACTCATTATCTCTTTAATTATCACTGTATCTCATTAATGATCTCTCCCTCCCCCCCGCAGTTTCCTCGACCGCGATCATCTCTCCAGTTATCTCTCATTACGTCTTTATCACTCATTATCTCTTCAGTTATCTCTCATTATGTTTTTATCACTCATTATCTCTTCAGTTATCTCTCATTACGTCTTTATCACTCATTATCTCGTTAATTATCACTGTATCTCATTAATGATCTCCCCTCTCTCTCTCTCCCCCCGCAGTTTCCTCGACCGCGTCCACATAGTGCGGCAGAACGACTATACCCCGACGGAACAGGATATTCTCCGATGTCGAGTCCTCACCTTAGGCATTTTCGAGACAAGATTTCAAGTAGACAAAGTTAATTTCCAGTGAGTATTCTTTTCTCTCTCTGTGTGTGTTGTGTTGGGTTGGTGGGGATGGGGAGAGGGAGGGGGGGAAGGGGGTTGGGTTGGGGGGGTTGGTGGGAGGGATGGGGTGGGGGTATAGGGTTGTTTTTGTTGTTGCTGTTTCTTTTTTCTTTTTCTTTGTCTGTTTTGTGCTGTTTGCTTTTTTTCCTAATTCTCTCTAATTCTCTCTAGTTATATCTCTTCTCTTCTCTTCTCTTCTCTTCTCTTCTCTTCTCTTCTCTTCTCTTCTCTTCTCTTCTCTTCTCTTCTCTTCTCTCTCTTTCTCTTTCTCTTTCTCTTTCTCTTTCTCTTTCTCTTTCTCTTTCTCTTTCTCTTTCTCTTTCTCTTTCTCTTTCTCTTTCTCTTTCTCTTTCTCTTTTCTTCTCTTTCTCTCTCTCTCTCTCTTTCTCTCTGTCTCTTTTTTTTCTCTCTCTTCCTTCCTTCCTCCCTCTCCCCTCCTTCCCTCTTCCCTATCAACCCATTCCCTTTCTCCCCTTCTCCATCTCCCCCACTCTCTTCTTTCGTCGAAGCGTTAGAGTTGACCTTGAGATCACCCCTCTCCCTCCCCCTTCTCACCCCCACCCCCACCCCTTCGCTGAACACGTGTTCCCGCACAAGGAAACTTCTGTAGCTATTTTTATACACATTCACCTGGACATACACTTACACTTGAAATATCCACATCCACATGAACATACACATCCACTTGGATATACATTATGCTACATGCACATACATTTGGATGTACACATGTACATACAGTGGATACATGCACATACATTTGGATGTACACATGCACATACAGTTGGATGTACACATGCACATACATTTGGATGTACACATGTACATACAGTTGGATGTAGAGGCATGTACATGTGGATGTACACATGCACATATATTTGGACATACACATGCACATACATTTGGATGTACACATGCACTTACATTTGGATGTACACATGCACATACATTTGGATGTACACATGCACATACATTTGGATGTACACATGCACATACATTTGGATGTACACATGCACTTACATTTGATGTACACATGCACTTACATTTGGATGTACACATGCACACATGTACACATGCACTTACATTTTGATGTACACATGCACATACATTTGGATGTACACATGCACTTACATTTTGATGTACACATGTACATTTGGATGTACACATGCACTTACATTTGGATGCATGCACATACATTTGGATGTACACATGCACTTACATTTGGATGCACATGCACTTACATTTGGATGTACACATGCACATACATTTGGATGTACACATGCACTTACATTTGGATGTACACATGCACATACATTTGGATGTACACATGCACTTACATTTGGATGTACACATGCACTTACATTTGGATGTACACATGCACATACATTTGGATGTACACATGCACATACATTTGGATGTACACATGCACATACATTTGGATGTACACATGCACATACATTTGGATGTACACATGCACATACATTTGGATGTACACATGCACATTTATTTGGATGTACACATGCACATACAATTTGATATACACATAGACTTATACATGGTTATACACATACACATACATTTGGAAACAAATGTACATACCCTTGATCATACACATACATACCTGTACACTTAGACATGCATATAAGCATACACTTGGGCATACACACGCACATACACTTTGTAGTACACATAAACATACACATGCACATATACATACACATACACTCAAACATACACATAAACATACATTTGGATATACTGATTCACATACACATATACTCAAATATACACATATGCTTGGACATACACAAACATACACATCCAATTACATTCACATATATTTGGATATACAGATACAGATACACTTGATCATAAACATACACATAGGCCTACACTTGACTGTACACTTGGATAGGCACATGCAAATCCACATTCAATTTGGATCATGTTGTTTCTGATTGTTATGATTATGTTATCCTCCTATTTCATCCTCACCTCTTCCTCCTATTTCTTCTTTGGATGTTAGTTTTTTTCTTCCTTCTACGTTTCTGCTTATTATTTCTTTCTGCATTTACAATATATTTTTCTTTCCTTTTAACTGTATATTTCTTCCATTGTGCATATTTTCTGGTCACTTTTTTATTGGTACCTGCTCAATTTTTTTTCTTTTCTTTAGTAAAAATGATTATTATATATTATACAAAATGTTGTTATTATTATAATTATCATCATTGTTAGTATAAAGTTTCTTCTCAGTAAAACTAAGCCCATTCCCCCACCTACAGTATGTTCGACGTGGGCGGTCAACGCGATGAGAGGCGGAAGTGGATCCAATGTTTCAATGACGTCACGGCCATCATCTTCGTCACCGCTTGCTCCTCTTACAACATGGTCCTTCGGGAAGACCCCAGTCAAAACCGGCTGCGGGAGTCGTTAGATCTCTTCAAAAGTATATGGAACAACAGGTAAGGATGAGGAAGGGGTGGAGAGGATCTGTGGAGGAGGGAGTCTGTTGTGGTTCTTGTTGGGGTGACAGGAGGAGGGGGGAAGGGGGTAAGGGAGGGAGAAATTAGTGTGGGGGTTGTGTATGGGAGAAAGTAGTCTTGTATGAGGGGAGTTCTTGGTGTAGATGGGCACGATCTCTCACTCTGCTTTATCTTGGTCTGGTGGCTCTAGGTGGAAGATAGGGAGAGCTAGTCTGCCTCAGAAGTGGTCCCTGGTTCTCACTCTGAAGCCCAGGTTTATCTTGGTGTGGTGGGTCTAGGGTGTAGATAGGAGGAAGAACTAGCCTCTCTCTGAGGGGGTCCTTGGTGGTTCTCGCTCCCCTACTCGGGTTTTATTTTGGTCCGGTGGTTCTTGGGTGGAGATGGTTGGAAGAGCTAGTCTTTCTCAGAGGAGATTCTTGGTTCTCTCTCTCTCACTTGGGTTTATCTTGGTCATGTACGTCTTGGGTACTGTAGGAGTGGGTTGGGTACTGGGTACAGAGTGGGGCGGAGAGGGAACAGAACGGTCTCTCTTAAGAAGGTCACGGGGGTGGGAAGTCCTCTTGGGTTGATAACGGTAGGGGAGGGATGTCTCTTGGCTATTCGTGGTTGCGTGGGTCTTGGGTCTTGGGTCTTGGTTATTGTAGGGTGTTGGGGCTGGGTGTGACTGGCTTGGGAAGAGTTGCTCTGTCTCTGTAAGGTCTTGGGCAAGGGCTTCCCTCTCTCTCTTTGGTGGATTGGGCTCTTCGGAGGTAGGGCATGCTCCTGTTGGTTTTGTTTTTTGTAGGGTTGATGGGGGTAACTGGCTTGGGCTTAGCTGAAGGAATGTGGAGGGAAGGGCGTGGTGTCTGTTGTTATGGAGATGCATTATTTACCAGTAGTTTGGTCTTTTATTTTAGCATATTTGTTCTTAATATTTTTGTTAGTATTTTTTGTTTATTTTTCATGTCAGTTGTTTTTTTTTTAAGGAAGAAGGGGATTATTGGGCATTTGCATTTGATCTTATACTAATTTATTAGAGATTTCTCAGAAACACGTACCAAAAAACTTGACACGTATTATATACCTTCCTTTTTTTATATACCGTTTTTCTTTTTCTTTTTTTTTTTTTCCAGTAGACATTCAGTATGTAAGGCAGTCAGTGTATTTTTTGTTTACATTCCTACCGATTTTTCTCCCATTTTTATTCATTATAGATTTTAAATTCAAAGACAGTTGATATTAAAAACATGGACAGAGGTTTCTTGGGGTCAGTGCACACTTTTCTCATCTCTTTGTTAGAATAATGATTTGATTGTATTTGACAGTGGTAATATATTTCTCTAATTTTGAAAATATGACATAGTCATATTTATCAGACTAATGGTAATGATAATGATGATAACAACAATAACAATGCAAGTTGTTAATGATAATGATAATGGTATTAGAGTTCAGAAGAAAAAACTGGTTATGTAAAAAACTGTTTATCTTTGCTCTGTTTCAGTTACTGATTTCATTGGTTGAATATTTCTGTATGTTTGATGTATTTAATGTTCAATTTGACTTTTTCGGTGATATTCATTAGCTAGTAATGTGTATGGCTTGAGATGTGACAACACAATATTTCAATTTGTATAACTCTTAATGCAACTAATGCATTAGTACAACACAATTTGTATTGAGTAAAATGATGTTAGGTTTACGGAAGAATTACTGAAGATGTAAAGTCATGGCAAAAGTGAGGGCTGAGGACTGACAAACCTTAGAACATCCCACCTCTCATTCAATATGGCCTGCACATGGTGTTTCTGTTTATTTTGGAATCATTTTACCTAACCAGTCATGCTAACTTCAGCATGTTATTACGCTGTGTTAATGAGAAATGCTCTCAGAAAACTATTTAAAACAAATTCTACCAGCAATGCTGCTGGACCCAGTTAAATTGTGGCATCACATCAACAGATCCTTTGATGATATGACTGATAAGATTTTGTTCTCCAAAGAGTGTCTGTAAATAAAATAATAATAATAATAATAATAATAATAATAATAATAATAATAATAATAATAATAATAATAATTTGCATGCATTGACCAGTAAATGCTTTATAGTTTTTATCATATGCTCATGACAGACATAAAGGTTGCCCATGCAACAGATTTTAATAAGAGCTTGTTGAAAAGACTTACATGTAGATCATGCACACTTAGACAAATACATGATATATCTAAGTCCTTCCCAGGGAGGGTGTCTCATACTTTGACCTTCTCCCAGGTGGCTACGCACAATCAGCATCATCCTGTTTCTAAACAAGCAAGACCTCCTGGCTGAGAAGATCCGGGCTGGGAGGAGCAGGTTAGAAGATTCTTTCCCTGACTTTGCTCGGTATCAGACCCCACTCGATGCTACCGTGGAACCAGGAGAAGATCCAGAGGTGGTGCGCGCAAAGTACTTCATCAGGGATGAATTTCTAGTGAGTTGTTCATTCTAGTTCAGTTCATTTGAGTGATTTTTGTTTTTGTTCTATGTACATGGCATTGAGAGCCTAGTTGAGTTTTGTTGTGAATAATGCTTTGGAAATCGCTTTAGGTAATGCATTGAATGTTTTCTTCTTTTTATCTCTTTCTCTAATTTGTTGAATTACTAATGAAGATGATATAAAATTCTAAGATATAGAAAGAGAGAGAGAGAAAAAGAAAATCTGAACTTGATTTTAAACACCTCTCCCCTCACCCATTTGCAGAGGATAAGCACGGCAAGTGGTGACGGCAAGCATTATTGCTACCCTCACTTCACATGCGCCGTGGACACGGAAAACATCCGCCGAGTGTTCAATGACTGCAGGGACATAATACAAAGGATGCACCTCAGACAATATGAACTTTTGTGATGGCCAGTAGGTGTGGGTACTGCGGGCGGCAACAGTATAGCTCCGTGCGAGCGAGCGAGGCAGGCAGGCTGGGTGGAATGGGGCGGGGGATCCGGGAGGACGGAGTGACCCTCCCCGTCTAGTCTCCTCAGAGGATGGTTCTCGCTCCCTCAGGACTTCCTCCCCCCCTCTCCGCCCATGAAAGCTTTTCCTGCGCCTCAAGCGTGGCACAACATCAACTTTCCTCAACCCAGTTTTTGGTTTAGGTCCTCGTTTTGTTTTCTTACAAAAAATAAAATAAAAAAAGATATGAACGCTACAATGTGATTGTAGATATAGATCAATGGTATCCCCTCCCCATGCCCCCTGCCCCCACCCTTGCCCCTTTCCTTTTTCCCCTTGTCCTCCTCCTCCTCCCTCGCCCACTCCCTTCACCCCCAAATATGGAAGATCTCTACATATTGATGAAATAAATCTTCTCTTGCTCTATCTCTCCTGGATGTGCGCAGTGGCCGCCCCAAGCCACTGCTCCACAGGACTCTCTTGTGATGCAAATTCAAGCTCAAAATCTTTCTCAACTTCTTAACCACGGAGTACTGACTGCTTCACAGTACTCCGTGGTCAAGTTCCTCCCACTCGCTTCCCCCCCACTTTTCTCTCGGAAACATTACGGCCTCTCCTTTGAGCAATTAGCGGAACTCTCCCCTTTTTTTCCCCCCGTGATAGATATTGATACCTTGGATGATGAAACTGGGATACTTTTACATGGACATACAACAGAATTGTTCCAAACGTAGACTACTTAGCGCGTGATGTATCCTTGTCAAGCATATTCACCCACCTCCCCTCCCCCATCCTCCAGCCCCAGTTCTACCTTTGCTCCCTGCCCCTTCCTCTCCCCCACCCCCTCCCTTCTCCCCAATCATCGGACAACCTTTGCCGTTTATTATTTGTTTTCCCCCCACCACAGATGATCTAGTTTCCACCACAATGCCACATTGGACTCCTAGCCCCCCTTTCAGTCCCTCCTCCTCTTCCCCTCTCTTTCTCTGTGTCCCCTATTCCTTTTTCTTCGTCCCTCTTCCCACTATACCTCTTTCTGCTCTGCCCCACCCCCACCCCCACCCCCAAAGCCCACTTGGATCTACTGTATGTGCCCCTTTTCCCCTCCACTCCCCCCTTCCCCCTCCCCCTTTCCCAGTTTAGCAACTGCCCAACTCTTCAAAGTTAGGAGTATTGTCAATTGATTGTGTGCAAAATTAAAAAAAAATCTCTCTTGATTTAGAAGTCTTGTTTCACAAAAAATAAAAAACCTTAAAAAAAAAAAAAAAAAAAAAAAATGTTCTGTCTCATGCTTTTGGTGTCCATATTTTTTGCTAATTTTATAAATATATATAATATAATAATATAATATAATATATATATATATTATGTTGGTGGTATGTGAGCCTATATTTATGTCGGAGGGCGTGGAGTGAGCTCAAAGTCTTCGCCCTGTCAGTCTGTCGTAGGCATGGCAATTTTATGAGTTTTTATCTGTTTCTATTTATTTTATCTGTCAAACACACCAGAGAACTGCTTTTGTGACTCTTTGCTTTTGTGGAAGAAATCTCAATTAGAAGGAATTTATTTTGTACTTTTTTAATTTATTAAGTAATAAGTGCAACCAAGTAGACTGGTGATAATTCTTTGTGTAGACGTGAATGTGTTTTTAAAGACCCACCAAATTGTGCTATAACAACTGAGTTATGGATCAGTTTTTGCAACCAAAAATTTTTTTTCTCCCTCCCCCAAGCTTTACAAATTTCACTACTGAGTAGTCTTTAAAAAAAGAAAAAAAAAATAATAAAAATAAAAACTTGTGTTTCAACTGCTGGCACCTCTCTCTTCTGACCCTCAAGAGGCATGTTTACATCCAATTTTCTTCGGTTCCAGTTCTTGCCGTGACGCCACTCGGATCTCAACCAAACTTGGGAGGGAGCGGCCGTTTCACGCTAACTTTCTGATTATTTGTTTTATTTGGTCTTTTGGTTTGTCTGTTCTTTATCATTGTTATTACTCCAATGGATGTTTTTTTCTTCAGTCATATTACCAATGTTGTATTTTGGTCTGCATTGCGTTGGGCGGCAGGAAGGTGAGAGGTGCTGGCATACAGGAGGGCGTGAATGAACCCCCCCTCCCCCTTGCAGTGAGTAGTGGGAGCTCAACTGGTCATTGTGTGCCTCGGTTGCCTTACTCAGGCATCCAGGCAGGAACAGCGGCTGTGGCTTGGGCTCTCAATCCTCCACGCGATGTGCACGCTGTATTGGCCAGCAGTGCATTGGCGGATGGCAGCGAAGGAGGCTGTCTTTGCTGTGCTGAATGTAGGAGTTATGGAAATGAAAATGAGTAATATACATCTGTCAAATGGTGACAAGTGAAAGTTTTTTTTTTTTTTCTTTTTTTCATGTATCTTCTTATTTTAATCCTTTAATTTCCTTGTCTATTTTCATGTTTTCCTGTGTAGGATGAGGATGTCTGAACAACTTTGTGGGAAAAAGAAGTTTACTTGAAAAGTGCCAATATTGTACCCTAGGCTGAGAGCATAGGTGTAGCGGTGAGTTTGACGCACCAATTGTGTGAGTTTGGGCGGTGGTGTTGGACGGCACCGGGTGGTGGTGTTGTCGCAGGGTTGGTGCCGTGAGTCACTGTGGTCAGTCTAGTTGGTGGCTGGGGGGAGGGAGCCAGGGCCCCCCGTGCTCCCTGGAGCCCATGGCCCCTCCCGAACCGCCAGCCATTCCGCAACATGATAGCCGTGGTAATATTGGATTGTGGTTCTGAGGCCTGATGGGTTACCCACAACCACGTCAACATCGTTTACCACGCACCTTAGTTAGGTGGCTACCGCTGTGGTCCCTCTACTTTGCCTGTACAAATCCCTTGTTTAGTCTGCCCCCAGGGCATAAACACCAGCTTGTGTTTTATGTTAGAGGCTTGTGTAGTGCGCCTAGAACACCAGATTGGTTTAGCTGCGCTTCAGTCCCAAATAGTCTCCAGGGAGCATCCCCCCCTCCCACCACCTCCACCTGCCCCTCCTCCCTTTGAGCTCCACCCCTTCCTAGGGATCCCGTTCTCCTGGCCTGCTCTCCATGCCACGTTGCCTCTGCTGGCATCCCATGGCTGTCTCCCTGCCATGCTGCCCCTTCTAGCTCTGCCCACTCTATTCCCGACTGCCCCTCCTCCTGGTACCCCTCCCTCCCCCTCCCTCTGTCCCTCCCCGGCCCCCGAGAAACCCTGCCGTGAAGCCCCTCCCCGAGTCCCCAAGCCCTTTCTGGTTAGCAGGTAATGTTAATGGCCTCCTTGGCTGATAACCCCCTGCGACGTCCCACCCGTAGAGACCAAGCCCAAACTGGTAGCCAACTCAGGCGGGAGGGAAATTCTGCTCGGAACTTGCCCCCCCAGCTTGATCCTTCTATCGTCACAATCCTCCCCGTGTAGTTATAACCTATTAAAAAAGTGTTACAGAAAATTAGAATACCTGATTTTATGTAATTGAATGTGTTTAGTTAATGTATACCAGCTCTGTGTATTGCTTTGTATCATGGCTAAAGTGTAGGCATACCTCTGGTTTAACAGTGAAGCAACAAGATCAGCTGCAGGAGTGGTGTGGGTGCGGGGCCAGTCGTCCTCCCTTTCCGACCCCCTCCCCGGGGGCTGCGGCCTGGCATGCGTCAGGCCCCATGGTCGGCTGTCCCCCTTGGGTCGAGGTGCCGCTTTTGGAGGTGCAGGGGCTCCGCACACCCCGGGGGCTGCCCGTGGGCTGCCAACTTGTCTCGTCTCCCAGTGTTGGTGGCCCACTCACCCCCAGCTGCCCCCGCAGGTAAGCCCGCCCCTGCACCCCCACTCATGCACGCCCACCGCGCCCGCACCACCATAACACGTGGAAGCGGTTACTCGGATCCTGGGTTAACATTACTATCCTAGCACGTCAAATATATATTTCAGAAGTATATTTCAGATGAATTTATTCAAATGCTGCGTAATGGTCACTGTAAATTGTGTAATTGTGAATAAATTTACAATGTCTTATTTACAAGAAGCCTTTGAGTTTTCATTTTCCCTATCAAATTAAGGATTGCTGTATCCTAAGAAAACTGATGATTCCAAGATCTGCATTAAGCAGCACATTAATGACCATTAACACCAAAATGTAACAATTTGGAATAAAACCAGTTTCAACAAGCTATTTTGGCAAATGCTGTTATTATTGCTTGCAAGTCAAAAAAAATATTTTCCATCTAGTATGTGAACGTCTATGGTAGCTTGGTACATTAAGTTTCTCGAAAGACTTCAGGGTGTTAAAGGTCCAATGCAAACTTTTGAAAGCATTTAAATGATTATCTGCTAGTTATGCACTGATTGTATCACAGTATGAGAAGAATGTCATTGAAAAATTTCTGCTGTGTCAACATCTAAGGTCATTAGTGGTGTATTCTAAATATAGCGAGAAGATACAGCTTGGAGGGTGAATCCCCCAGAGAAGGATTTTTTTTTGTTCCCAAGGCAATGTTTGTGGATTCCCAGAATGGTTAATGATCAAAGCAAATAACTGTACCAAACATCAGAAGTCATACATGCCTTTAGCTATCTTGTTTGTAAGGGCCAATCAGGTTGAAGCGACCAACGAACAAAAGATGGCAAAGTGTACCCTATATACTAAATGTATACTTTGTTTTTCATGTGAAGTAACCGTAGTATTTCTATTTTTTTCTTAATAGTTGAAAGAAACAAATGTGCTAGTCATCAAAGGTCATAGACGTAAATATGTAATATTTTCAGGGAGTAATCTGCTGTCTATATTAGAGTTGCTAAAATGTCATTGGTAACCAGTGTTTTCAATTTTATTGAAACCCAAATTAATGAAATATATAAATTACAACCACTATATAAGGGTTACAAGTTGCAATCTAGATATGTAGTATTTAATTTAATTTGCTTTAATGAAAGAACTACCTTTTTAAATTCAGGAAAATTAATATGTGGGAGTTAAATCCCCAACTCCACCTCTATTTCTGTACAGCCTATAATAGCACACTCCAATATACTAGACTGAAAACACGGTGCTCGAATACTATTAACGGTGACCCCATCGACAGGGATGGAAGGAAGGAAGGAAAAGAAAGGAAAGAAACAAACAAACTGTAACAGGCACTATAAAGTATTGGCAATGACATTCGTAGGGCAGCACTAATCTGAATGTATGCGCGTGATTATATATGTATGTATGGTGTGTGTGTGTGTATGTATGTACTTTTGTAGTATTTTGACGGTAGCACTACTCTTGATGTGTGCGGGTGATTGTTTGTTTGCTTACGTATGTATGTGTGTGAATTCCATGGATGCACTTCTTTTATCAGATGTTTGATCAGTGAATTTATGAAAGAAACAGAGGGATCTGAAATACAAAATATTTTTAGGTCTCGTCAACGCCCAGCTTTATGGCATAAACATTATCTAGGTTTATAATTTATTTTAAAAGGCCGTTATGTGTTAGTTAATATCTATAAACTATTTATTAACCAATAAGTAGTTCTCTTATGAAAATAGAAAAAAAGAAGAACGAAGGTTGGAGAATAAAACGATTACTTTGAAATATCTGTTCATCATTTCAAAAAATATTTTATTTTGTACTTAAATTTCTATAAAATGTGACAAATTAGCTTATTCACGACATACAACATACGTATATATATATGTTGAATTCAATATTCCTTGGTCCACAAATTCAATAAAAAACACATCAAATCCAATGTTTCCATTTTTTTTTTTTTTTTGCAATGAAGAACATTACCATTTTTCTTTTCACCATATTAGCAAATTTCATTAGACTATGTTAATATCTGTTAGTTTTTCTGTCAATATAAACCGAAAAGTTGTCAGATTATTTACAGTCTACTTGTTTCTGGATAAAAGCTCTTATACATATATTAGCTGTAGTTTTATAAACAAATTAAGAATATACATAAAATATATAAAGAATGTGAAATTTATGTAAATGGCGAAATTCCTACATATTCACTCATTCTTACAATCAATAATTCCTGTTTCAACACCATAGTTACCATCCACGCTTCAGCACCACCATAATCATCACCCAATGCTTCAACACCATAATTATCATCCTCGTTCCAACACTAATATAACTATATTTCAACAACATAACTATCACCCAGGTTTCAACACCATTATAATTATCACCCGTGCATCAACACCGATATAACTATCATCCTTATTTCAACACCAACATAATTATCTTCCTCGCTTCAACGCCATCATAATTATCACACCCATGCATCAACACCAACATAACCAGCATCCTCGTTTTTAACATGACAGTCACGCATGCTTCAACACCAACGTAACCTTCACCCAAGTTCACCCATCCTTCAACACCAATATCTAAGCAATTAAGCTTTAATAACAATATAATTAAGTCACGAGAGCTCTTGCATCAATATATAATTAGACGTCTAACATCATTAGTCATCCACTCTTCACCCGTAAAATGATTAGTTAAACCTTATCTAATAAAAATTAATTTCAACATTAAAAAAGAGAAAGATAATAAAACTACGTATCAAAATCAACTTTTCTGGAATTGAAAAAAAGCAAGAAAGAAAGAAAAAAAGAAAATGGATATGAGCATCAACTTTTCTCTAAAAATAAAAATACTAGAGAGAAAAAAGGGAGTAAAAAAAAGTAGCAATCACTTGCTACATTCGAGAAAATATTTTTAAAAAATAAAAAATGAAAGAAAGAAAGAAAGAAAGAGAAAGAAGAAAGAAGAAAGAAAGAAAGAAAGAAAGAAAGAAAGAAAAAGAAAGAAAGAAAGAAAGAAAGAAAGAAAAGAAAGAAAGAAAGAAAGAAAGAAAGAAAGAAAACTAAAAAAAAAAAGGAGCAGATAATCCTTCATCCCATTCACGCCGCAGGACCCCCAAAGTGCGCCATGGTCTCCTGCAGGGTCCTGCCTTTGGTCTCGGGGACAAAGAGGACGCAGAAGAGGAAGTTGACGGCACACAGCCCGCCGAACAACCAGTAGGCGCCGTAGTCGTGGATGGCGTCCTGGGAGAGAGGGAGGGAGAGCCTGTTTAGTGCGTGGGGGCGAGGTGGTGGGTGAGGGAGGGGAAGGGGAAGGGGAAGGGGGGGAAGGGGAAGGGGAAGGGGAAGGGGAAGGGGAAGGGGGAAGGGGAGGGGAAGGGGGGGGGGGGGAGGAGGGAGGGAGGGGGAGGGAGGGAAGAAGGGAGGGTGAGAGAGAGAAGGAAGGGAAGTGAAGAAGGAAAAGGGAGGGAGGGAGGGAGAGGAAAGGAAGGAAAGGGAAAAAAAGGGTGGAAGGGGAAGGGAGAGGGAGGGAAGGAAGAAAAAAAAGGGAGAGGAGGAAAGGAAGAGAGAGGGAGGGAAGGATGAAAAGAAAGGGAGAGGAGAAGGAAGAGAGGGAGGGAAGGATGAAAAGAAAGGGAGAGGAGGAAGGAAGAGAGAGGAGGAAGGATGAAAAGAAAGGGAGAGGAGGAAAGGAAGAGAGAGGGAGGAAGGATGAAAAGAAAGGAGAGGAGGAAAGGAGGAGAGGGAGGGAAGGATGAAAAGAAAGGGAGAGGAGGAAAGGAAGAGAGAGGGAGGGAAGGATGAAAAGAAAGGGAGAGGAGGAAAGGGAGGGAGAGGGAGGGAAGGATGAAAAGAAAGGGAGAGGAGGAAAGGGAGGAGAGGAGGGAAGGATGAAAGAAAGGGAGAGGGAGGGAAGGAGGAAAGGAAGGGAGAGGGAGGGAAAGGAAAAGAAAGGAAGGAGAGGGAAGGAAGGATGAAAAGAAAGGAAGGATGAAAGAAAGAGGAGGAAAGGAAAGGGAGAGGGAGGGAAGGATGAAAAGAAAGGGAGAGGAGGAAAGGAGGGAGAGGGAGGGAAGGATGAAAAGAAAGGGAGAGGAGGAAAGGAAGGAGAGGAAGGAGAAAAGAAGGAGAGGGAGGAGGATAGAAAGGAGGGAGAGGGGAAAGGGAGGGAGAGGGAGGAAGGATGAAAAGAAAGGGAGAGGAGGAAAGGAAGGGAGAGGGAGGGAAGGATGAACAGAAAGGTGAGAGTGCAGAAGAGGGAGAATAGATCAGAGGGTGGGAAGAGAGAAGAAAGGGAAATGAGAAAAAATAATAGAAATGAAATAATTAAATACATAATGCATACCAAAATAAATCATAATACAACAAACAAATATAATAATGAAAAAAATAAAAATAAAAATCACACCCAAAGTCAAAACAAACATATATCTGTTAATTTTATTTTCTTCCGAATCACTGATCGGAAATTTCAAGCGAAATTATACAAACAAAAAAATAAATGAATAAAAAATAAAAATAAAAATCACACCCAAAGTCAAAACAAACATCTATCTGTTATTCAATTTTATTTTCTTCCGATGTCCCTATCACTGATCCTGGAAATTTCTCAAGCGACCCTGCCCTTTTTTCCTCCTCCTTTCCTTCCCTTCCCCTTTTTTAATCCCTTCTTACTTTCTTTCCTTCCTTTTTTTACTTTCCCTTCCTTCCCTTTTTTTTACTTTCAGTCCTTCCCTCCTCTTCTCCCTCTTTCACTATCCCCCTCTCATCTTTCTTCACTCACTCACTCAGTCCACTTCTCACTCTCTCTCTCAATCCTCTCTCCTCTCTCTTCTCTCCTCTCTCCTCTCTCTCTCTCTTCCTCTCTCTCTCTCTCCTCTCTCTCCTCTCTCTCTCGTCTCTCCTCTCTCTCTCTCTCTCTCTCTCTCTCTCTCTCTCTCCTCTCTCTCTCTCTCTCTCTCTCTCTCTCTTCTCTCTCTCTCTCTCTATTTACCATTTTGTGTTTTCATTTCTCCTTTTTTCTTGCTTTCTTTTTTTCTCCTCACCATCTCTCCCCCTCCCCCTCCCCCCTCCTTCCCCCCCTTCTTCTCTCCTCCCTCCCTCCCTATCCCTCCAATCCCTTTCCCTCCTCCCTTCCTATCCTATCCCTTCCCTCTCCTCTCCTCTTTCTCAAAAAGAAGAGAAGAGAATCGTGGCGCAATTAATCACTTCATCAGATAAT